TTCCTGCTGTGCATGACAGAAGGACTTGAAGGATCAAGACCATAATGTGGCCTTTACAGTGTGCAATATACTAACCACAGTGGTCTGATTTGGTATTTCCTTCAAGTATGAAAATTCATGCTACACCTGTGTGAGAGGAGCTACCTTGTTACCCCTGCCTCCAGAGTGAGGGAGTCTTGCTTGTGGTAGCTGGGTGTTAGCTCCCTAGCACCACCAGTCTACCAGCCACTCAAGCACTCTTCTCTGGGCTATGCCAGCACTGTCTTTGCCTTGCACTTAATGCACCCCAGTCCCTGAGTCCCCTTGAAAAGTTCCCCTGTGATATCCAGCCCCGACCCCAACTACTCACAGAAATCCCAGATCCTTGTCTCACAAAGGAACAACGTAGCCAGTTTACCAGTTTTACTGTAAACCACTGCTCCTGTATAACACACTTGTGAGCACTGACAATAAAACTAAAGGATGTTTATTTAAGAAAAAAGAGATGTTCCACTAGAAACAAGAGAGAATGATGGAAACAAATGGTTACAATATAAAACAAAATAATAAAATGCAAACTAGGGCCTACCCTTATTGTTACCTTTTCCAGCTAATAACGTAGATTTTCCACCCCAAAGTTCAGTCTTTTTGCAAAGCTGGCTGGCTTCACAGGAGCCAGGATCCAATCTTTCATGAAACACCCACACTCAACAAGATGTCTCCTCAGTGAATGGATGCAGAGTGTCTTTCTCCACCCTGTCATATATTGAATCAGTCTTTTGTCTTCATTCACAGACAGGGCGATCCCTGGTCTGTTATAATGTTCCTTTGTATCTCCACATCATCTCAATTGTTTGCATGTGTCCTTGATGGTTTTCCATTGAGTGTTCAGAGGTGGGGCAAGGGTAGACAACCAAGCCTTGCATTACATCACCAGCTATCCAGGCAGAGATGACAACTCCCTCCTGCTCGAATGGACCATCACTGAGACATGAGATTCCCCAGTGACTAACTTTTACTCCAATATAATTACATTATTTGTTACTTATTACCTATGCATACATCTTGCAATGATTATGAGTATTGATAAGTTACAAGATTTCAGTACAGACCTCACATGCTACATTTTATGGATAAATACCATGAAAACGGAATATTAGATGTAGTGGGTTTGTCAGATCTGAGATGTAAGCTGCTTGTAAAGAACAGTGAATCCTTTGCCAACTGGCACCAATGAGCCTCTGTATCACACCTTGGCATGATGCTATTTCAGAAAATCAGATGCAGTTTAATGTGGGATTGAAAACGGCACTGTACAATCAAGGCCAACTGAAGGATCGTTTCAAAACCACAATGAAGTGCCCACAGGCAATTTTAGATCTAAAGACAAGTCTGGTCTGTCCTAGCGGGTCACCAAGTAACTTCTGAGTTGTTGCAGACTATCCCCTATAAGCCCATGGTAGGTTCACCAAAGAAAAGATAACAAATCGGAGCTTTATCTAGTAAGTTGGAGATAGAATCAGCCTGCTTAGGCATCTCTGTAACATTCTCCTTTCTAGCTAATCTCCTTTTCAACACATAGACTTATGACCTTCCAACAACTACAGCTGATAAGTACATATACGTGGATAGCATCTGTCTTGTTGATGTGGGTGATGATCTACATCAGGGGTCGGCAACCTTTCAGAAGTTTTGCGTGCTAGTAATACATTTAAGGTTTTTAGAAGGTCTCTTTCTATAAGTCTATAATATATAACTAAACTATTGTTGTATGTAAAGTAAATAAGGTTTTAAAATGTTTAAGAAGCTTCATTTAAAATTAAATTAAAATGCAGAGCCCCCCGGACCGGTGGCCAGGACCCGGGCAGTGTAAGTGCCACTGAAAATCAGCTCACGTGCCGCCTTTGGCACGCATGCCATAGGTTGCCTACCCCTGATCTACATACTATTGAAGGGTCACCCAGTCAAGACATGAATGCTCTGTCCTCTTACCTTTGTCAGTGGAGACTTAAGTTAAGAGAGTCTCAGATAGTTGCCACAACCTTCTATCTAAACAATTGTCTGGCCAATCCACCGCTTACAGTCTGCACTGAGGATTGTCCACTCCCTTTCCAGTCATTTCTCACTTACTTAGGAGTCAAACTTGGCCACAGTCTAGCATATCAGTCCCATCTAGAACACAAAGAAAATGACCACCTCCCACACTGCCTTGATCCAGATGCTAGCAGGAACCTCCTGGGGAGCAGAGGCAAATGCTTTACAAACCTCAGTCCTGATGCCCCAGTGGGATATCACGCAGCAGTTAGGAGCAGAAATCGGCACACACATCTAGTTGATTCAAAGTCGAACACAGCCACCCTTATCATTAGTAGTTGCCTTATTACCCCTCATTACCATCTAATTTAGAAGTGTTGGCTCATATCATTCCCCCCAAACTTCAATGAGATGCCATTCTATGGCAGATTAAAACAACTTGCTACACCCAAGGCTCACAATGGTTCCAATAGATGCAAACAAGCAGCGGACCCGTCCTCCAAGAAGCTCTGCTTGTCTCCAGAAGAAAATACCTACATCTGCACTTCCTGCTGACTTGCTATGACTGACTTTGTGACATCCTTTTGCGGCAGCCATTCATGCCCTCATGTCCAGGACTGCTGGCCCAGCGCCAATCTTAGGTGAATAACAGCATAACAAGGCCAACAGCTATGTCCTGGTAGCAATTCTGGGATAGAGAGACTGACATGCTAATGAATTTCAGAAGCCCTGGCTAACTTACATCCACCTGTTTGCAACCTGGGATGCAGATCCTGGATGTGGGTTAGTAGGCTGCCGATTGGAACAGCCAGAGCAGCTGCCATAATGAAGACATTTTGCTTAGTTCCATCTTCACAGTGTGACTGCAGAGCAGCAATGCAAATGGTCAAACATGTGGCGGAGGTGTGCTCAATTAGATGATTAGAGGGTGGAAGGCAATACCTTGCTACCCTCAATGATGCAGCAGTTAGATGGCTGAACAATCTAGATATTGTGATGTGTACGAAAGAAGAAGCTTAAGGATGCCAAAGAGGAACTAACAAGCCAGTGTGGGCATGGACATTCATTCCCAGCGGCATCTTGCTTTTACATGTGCAAACAGGATTAGATGTGTTTCCAGAGAACTGTAACAAAACTACAGTATAACCGTTTATTTCGAATGTTCCCTCTCTGACACATTAGCTAGTTGATTATATTTATCATCAGTATACCCTAGTAATTCTAATTAAAACCCAAACCAAACAATAGCTGGAAATATATACTACACTCTGTAGTGCAACACTGCAGTACAGGACTTTAAAGGGTCACCTGGGGAATGTCTGCACAGTGCAACAAAACGCCCATGGCTCGCCCATGTCCGCTGAATCAGGCTCGCAGGGCTCGGGCGAAGGGGCTATAAAACTGCAGTGTAGACATTCAGGCTTGACATACCCTTGGGAAAAAAGGTCAGTTATACGATGTTGGTTACTATTAACCTAGGGGAGGGATAGCTCAGTGGTTTGAGCGTTGGCCTGCTAAACCTAGGGTTGTGAGTTCAATCCTTGAGGGGGCCACTTAGGGGTCTGGGGCAAAAATCAGTACTTGGTCCTACTAGTGAAGGAAAGGGGCTGAACTCAATGACCTTCAGGGTCCCTTCCAGCTCTATGAGATCTGTCTATATATATATATATATAACCCACCTTTTCCTACTCCAGATCATTTAACACCAAGGGCCATATTCATCACTGGTGTAATTTCATTGATAAGGTGTATGTGAGGGGAATCAGCTATTACACCTGGGTCTTCCCAACCCCATTCATTGTTTTTCCTGCTACACTCCTCTTCTGTCCCCTGGTATATAAGTTACATTTTTGTCGCAGTATCAGAGGGGTAGCCGTGTTAGTCTGAATCTGTAAAAAGCAACAGAGGGTCCTGTGGCACCTTTAAGACTAACAGAAGTATTGAAGCATAAGCTTTCGTGGGTGAATGTCCACTTCATCAGACGTCTGATGAAGTGGGCATTCACCCACGAAAGCTTATCCTCCAATACTTCTGTTAGTCTTAAAGGTGCCACAGGACCCTCTGTTGATTTTTGTCGCACACTCACTGAATGGCATTGGGGTGCAAGTGGTAGTGGGGACCCATGGATAAGACACTGGTCTGGAAATTAGGAGAGCCAGGGTCTGTTCTTGCCTCTGCTACTGAGCTTCTTTGTGAATTTAGGTAAGGCCTCAGCTTCCCTGTCTAAAAATGTGGATAACGAATGATGCTCAACTTTGGGTTCACTTTGAGATGGATGGATGAACAGAGCACAGTACTGTATAAGACTGAAGTATTATTACTTTAACCCTCTTACACCTCATGTGTAAATTAATATACACCACTGCTTCTGTGACTGCTGAATTCAATGCCATAGCTCAATGCTATACTCCATTACAAAGATTCAAATACAGTCATTCCACTGACCTCAACAGAATGACTTTAAACCAGTCTCAAAGCAGAATTTGGCTCCCTGAATCTAATCAAAAGGCGTGTGCTGCATTAGAACACTTGTGTAGACCTTAAAGACCTCAGAAAGTGCTGGAGTTCCTGCCCCCCCCCCCCAGTATTTGGTAGAAATCAGACCATAGATTTCAGTCTTCTTGTTATTAATACATTTATAAACCATAAAGGGGGTTACAAGATTGATGGATGAGCAGCATAAGGCTTGGAGACGGCAAAGCACCAGGTAACTACTAGGTGTTAGGAGTCTAGTCATTATGCAGCGAATCCAATATTTTAAGCCCTTTCTTTTCTATTTTCTTTCATTGACATTGACACGCACTGAGATAAGCCAGAGGGTCGCATGAAATGCTGAAGCCGCCCTGAAATCCCGAGAGGCAAAGCAGTGGGAGAGCTTTCTACCAGCCAGAGGATTGTGGGCACTGTGCGGATCGGCCAGCTCTCCGTACAGCAAGGGAGGCTCAGAAAGTCCTGGGGAAGGCACCGAGCCTTGCAGCTGAAGCCAGGGCTGTCTCCGGGGGCATCCCCCCTCACTCAGCCCCGGGCAGTGGCAGCTGGAGGCGGGGAGCTGCAGCACACGCAGCCCAGTGCGGGGGGAAGGTGCTGGCAGCCCAGAGGCGGCCTGAGAGCAGCTGATGGATTCGGACGAGCCAGGCAGGAGCTAAAGACACCTCCCAAGGTAAAGAAACTTCGCTCCTTTGTCAGCGCGGCGCTTCCCCCTCCGCTGCGTCCCGGCCGCCAGCTGTGGCGCCGCCTTTGTCTCCAGCACAATCTCTCCTGGAGTCCGGGGCTCGGACGGGGCGGGGGGGACAAAAGAGCCCAAGGGCTCCATCAGCATCTCTGCCCCTCCGGCCGGAGAGCGCCCGGGGACCTGATCGCCCTTCCCGGGACGGCCCAGCCCCAGAGCTGCAGTTTGGGGGCGAGATCAGGCACGGTTAGGATAATAGCAGCTGCTGAGCCGAGCCGAGCCGAGCCGGGCCAAGCAGCCCCGTGCTTGACTAGGCAGTTAGACGCCAGCTGTTTGCTGCAGGCAGTTCTGCCATCTATTGTTACAGCGGCTGGGGGGGGGGAGGGGAGTAAATATCTGCCCCACCCCCACCACAGCTGGAAACAACAGCCGGCTGGGGCAGCCAGGAAAAGCGATTGCCGACAGCTGCAAGCCACAAGGCGCAGCTCTCCCTTTGAAATGGCCGGGAACTGGCTGGAGTCGGCTGGGCCGGGGGCTTTTGCTGAGCCAGGGTGGTTTGTTTCCCGGGGAGATTCTCCCTTTGTGACATCGGGTTACTCCTCGCCCCAGGACTGTCTAGTGCTTGTACTCCAAGGAAGCCAGGCTAGCTGGGGGAGACTCATCTTCTGAGCGGAACCGGCCAGGAACGTGAACTCTTACAAATACTTTGCTTATCATCCTCCATGTGGGAGTCATTCAGGCTGGGGAGGCCACAAAAACGAACCTATCAATAGCAGGGGGAGAGAAGAGAAGGAAAAACCCCGCTAAATGCCCCCCCCTCCCCCGACTGTTTGTGACATTCATTGCAAGTTCTTGGGGCAGAGAATGGGCTTGATTTTCCACTCACCCTGGTTTTATCCCATTAGGTTCAGTGGAGTTACTCCCCCATTTACACAGCGAATCAAGCACTGTATAATACCATAGAACAGCAGTTCTCAACTGGGGGGGGCATAGCCCCCCATTTCAGGGGTGCCACAAGCCCTGAGGCCCAGCACCCACAGGGTACTAGCCAGGAGCCCTGAGCCCCAGTGCCCAGAGGGGCAGAAGCCCTGAGCTGCTAATGCCAGGAGCCCAGAGCCCCGCAGGGCTAAAACCTGGAGCTCCGAGCCCCTCTGCCCCGCAGGGCTAAAGCTGAGAGCCCTGAGCATTGGTGTCCTGTGGGGCACAAACCCCAAACTCTGGCACCTGGTGCTGCAGAAGCCCCAAGTCCCCCAGTCTAATGGGGCTAACGAAGCTCTGGACCTCCAACCCCATGGAGAAGAAGCCCTGAGGCTCTCCCCCTCCTGCGATTGAAGCTCAGAGACTGGAGCCCCCCCTGCACCTGGATCCAGGAACCCTGTCTCTATGCCTCCCCCAGCCCTGGAATGTTTATAGCATGTTGCGGGGCCCTCAGAAAGAAAAACATTGAGAACCCCTGGGGTAGAACATCCAGAACAGTATGAGCACTAAACAAATCAACACTAGTAACATTTGCAAAGAGTAAAGAAAACTACATAGATTATAAAAGTGCCATCTCAGGTTAAAATATATACATTTAAAAGGGAAATATCTCCCCTGGCCTGTGTGCCCAGTAAAAATAGTTTAAAATTTAATTTGTTTTTGATGTTTTTTCCTGATTCCTTTTTAAAATTTCATTCATCTTGGAAAAGGAAAATAGACTAGACATTTTCATTTTTGTTTCTAGTCAATTTCACTTTCAGGTTCTCATGCACCAGCACAGTGCTGCAGTGTTTGGGTTGCAAACAAATTAATGAAAAATGTTGCTATTGCTATTTTCAAAATGACAAAACCTTGTTTGGCTTAATTACCTGACAGTGTCAGGTCATTACACGGGGGCTCAGGTTCCCAGCTTTAGTCCTGCAGGGTGGTGGGGCTTGGAGCTTCTGCCCCATCAGGTGCTGGGGCTCAGGACTCCCAACTTTAGCCCTGCAGGGTATGTGTGGGGGGGCTTGACCTTTCTGCCCCGTGGGGCACCAGGGCTTCAGGCTTTAGCCCCGTGGGGTACTGGGGCTCATGGTATCTGCACAATTTAAGATTCCATCCCTAAACCTCTCTCATGGGTACTCAGGATGTAATACACCCCTACCCATCCTCATAGGTACTCAGAGTGTAACTTTACCCGGGCTCTACCTCTCTGTGGGCTCTGGACTTTAGTCTCGTGGGGCCTGGGGCTCCAGACTCCCAGCTTTGGGGCTTCAGGCTCCCAGCAGGGCACTGGAGCTCAGGATTTCAGCCCCACGGAGGTCTGGGGCTCCGGGCTCCCACCGTTATCCCCGCATGGTGCCGGAGTTCAGGGCTTCTGCTCCATGGGGCGCTGGGGCTCCTAGCTTCTGCCCTGCAGGGCACTGGGGCTTGGAGCTCACGGCTCATGGACCTACTTCTGTGTCACTATGCAATACTTATGCCCAGGGTGGTGGGTTTTTGTTTTGTTTTGTTTTTTTGTAGTAAAGTGAGAACAGTGCAATTTCTCTCATCACAAGATTTATTACATTTTCTCACTGGTAATAGGTCTCAAATCGCAGCCCTGCCAGGAGCTGGTGAGCCCAGTGGTAAATTGCCTTCTTATAAACAAGACTTTCAATTTGTGACCTGTTACAGCACTAAGGCAAAATTTATACAGGTCTGATTGCCAAATTATACAATCTCACATACACTGGTGTAAACCTGCAGTACTCCACTGAAGTCACTTGAGTCACAAAGTGTAAACTGGTGTAAGTGAAATCAGATTCAGTCCCTCGTACTGTAGTGGATATCATTCAGTGCCACTGTAACCCATGCCTGTTTGGTGTGGTGTTCTGTCCCCCTCTAGAGGCACTTAGACCCAGGGCCGCCCAGAGGGGGGGGCAAGTGGGGCAATTTGCCCCAGGCCCCTGGCCCCGGAGGGGCCCCCACGAGAATATAGTATTCTATAATATTGCAACTTTTTTTTATGGAAGGGGCCCCTGAAATTGCTTTGCCCCCAGGCCCCCTGAATCCTCTGGGCAGCCCTGCTTAGACCATCTAGAGATTCAGAGGGTAGCCATGTTAGTCTGTATCCACAAAAACAACGAGGAGTCCGGTGGCACCTAAAGACTAACAGATTTATTTGGGCATAAGCTTTTGTGAGTAAAAAACCCACTTCTTAAAATGCATGGAGTGAAAATTACATAAATATTTATGCCTGCATCTCCTCATTGTTTTTATCTAGAGATTGATGTGTCTGCTATAGCCTTGGCTAATAGGCAGGTAGTTTTTAGCTCATGAAATTCAGGCTGATGCATTTAGCTCCAAAGATCTCAGGTTCAATGCTGCCCCCTGACAACTGGGATCTGTCAGCGATACCCCATCTCTCTGCCAGGCCAATTGGTAGTTATAGTGGTATCTGGACATTAGAAATAAAATGTACAAACAGTGTTGCAACACCAGAGCAGACCGCTGTTTGATCCATTCTGTTGTGATGCCTCCAGAAATAGGGAATACATGCTGTATTAGAAGAAGGTGGAAGTGCTCGCAGTAGAGATCAGGTGTTGTAATATAGATACTCTGACTACATGGGACTTGATTCACCTCCACAAAAGGAATTGGGGGGCAGGGGACCTTGGGCTTGTAAGCTTTTCAGAGCACGCATTTTCTTTTACTACATAGTGCCTAGCACAATGGAACCCTGATCTCAGTTAGGGTTTCTAGGCCCCACTATAATAAAAATAAATAATAGAGCCCGTATGTTGCAAAATTATTCCATTTTGCTCTGTGATCCTTCCTTCAATAAAGTCAGCAAACATACACCGCCAGATTTAAAAAAACAAAAAACAAAAAACAGCATCACACTGGGAACTGCTGAGTGCTCATATGGAAGTCAAGCACTTTTAAAATTTGGTCCACGAGTGGGTACTTAAAATATGGCCCATAGAGTCTAATGCTAGTATGTACATTTGAGGACAGAAATATAATATAACAGACTCTGCTTTCCCAGAAATGGTTGCATCTGACTGATGGGTCGTTTGATCCCTGCATATTGTTTAATTTACAAAATACACCGGGATCCTACAAGATGCATGATGTTATATTAATAAAGCTCATTCACTCAATCTTTACCACTAAGCTACTAGTTCAGGTCATGCTCCTGGAACAAGCCCACCAAATATTTTTCAAGTAACATTTTATTTCAAAGCATTATGGCCAAATCCATGTTTGCTAGGACTGCAGGGAAGGCTTTGGGAAATCACCAGGGATGAATTTGGCCTGACAAGTTCCAAGTGGACATTTTGTGTTAATGTTTTTTCCCCACTGAGCGCACCATATGACGGCATAGTTGCTATGACACTTCATTGTTCTTGAACAGCACGATACAGATTTCAGCAAATACTGTATAACTTTTAAACTCTCAGTTAAACATGGCAGCTGATATCTTTAACCTAGACTGTGAACTTGTCCACATTTTGGGTACATGATGGAGAAGTGCAATCAGTTCTGTACTGGACTGAATGCAGTTAATGAATCAGAAAAGTGTGCACATCTTCTGAAAAGGCAATCTGTAAACTGCAGTGTAAAGTGAATGTTGCACATATTTCTGAATGAATTAGGCCATTAATCAGTGTAATAATGTGCAAGACCAACTAGAGTCCGTGAGCCTCATTCTGATCTGACACCAATTTTAAACCACTGTAATTCCATTGGCTTCAATGGAGGTTCTTCTGATTTACACCACTATGAGAGCAGAATCAGGTTCAAAAATTGCCATAGATGAACGACAAGGTGCGTGCTGATGATCTCCTTATAAAAAGGACAAAGTCTACATTCCATGAAAGCACCAGAAGCCATTTCCTTAGCCAGTGGAATGTCAGGCCATACAACACATGACTGAGATGTCCTTGGACATACGCTACAAGCCCAGCTGTGCAATAATAAAAATACCAGTACAAGGAGAAAAAAATAATTTTGCCCATTTTAAATACACTAAATACGTTGCTTTT